TAGGTTCTGTTTCTCTTTATTTTTAAATACTTTTATTTTATTTTATATTTTAATTCTTTTCAGAGAGAAAGGGAGAGGGAGAGAGAGATAGAAACATCAACGATGAGAGAGAATCATTGATCTGCTGCCTCCTGCACGCCCCACACTGGGGATCGAGCACACAACCTGTATCTGTACCCTGACTGGGAATCAAACCGTAATCTCCTGGTTCATAGGTCAACCACAGAACCATGCAGACTGGGCCCCTTTTCTCTTTAATAAGGAATACCAGCTGCCTGAAGTTTTTGGATATATAATAAGATATAACTAATTGATATATAATAAATAAATAATTTATATATTCAAATTATGTAAATTTATATTTACTATATTCAAATGTGTTATTTTTATGTTATATTATTTATATATATAAGGCTGCTATGCTAAGTGTCCCTCCAACCTTCCAACTAGTTGCTATGATGTGCACTGAACACCAGGGGCCAGATGCTCAACACAGGAGCTGCCATGACTTGCATTGGCCATTTACAAATAAATGGCACCGCAGACCTGGCGCCAACAAAGCAACACTCAGCTTCCGCCAAGTGGGACACAGACCCCACCACCACCCCGGAGCGACACCCCACCAAATTGCAGCCAATGCTGCCGAGACCCCATCGTGCAACATGCAGCTCCCAGCCCAGCCTGGAAACAGTCACTGTGGGCGCCAGGTAATGATGTCATGAAGCAACGCCTGGCTTCCTCTCCCTGGTGACTAGCCTCCTTGGAGTTTTTTCAGCCCAGGAACACAGCTTGGTTTATAGCCAGGTGCAAACATTTTACATTTTAACCAAATGTCTGTGAAGCATTTTCCTGTGCCTCATCTCATTTGATCCTCACAGAAGTCCTGGAGTAGGTAGATAGGAGACTTAGTAGAATCTTATTTTCTTTTCATTAGTCAGAAAACAGAGATTTAGAAAGTTTAGAAACTTGACCTGACTGAAAAGAAGTAAGAAATGGTGGACCTTGAAAATGACTTCAGGTTTTCTCACTGCGCAGAATATAGTCAAACACTGTTGCAGTTGAATATTTTACCCTTTGTTCTCCCTGTGTGATCTACAATAATAATCTGCTTCTTGTTGATATTTACTTCTCTGTTGCTACACCAAATTGCAGCCAATGCTGCCGAGACCCCATCGTGCAACATGCAGCTCCCAGCCCAGCCTGGAAACAGTCACTGTGGGCGCCAGGTAATGATGTCATGAAGCAACGCCTGGCTTCCTCTCCCTGGTGACTAGCCTCCTTGGAGTTTTTTCAGCCCAGGAACACAGCTTGGTTTATAGCCAGGTGCAAACATTTTACATTTTAACCAAATGTCTGTGAAGCATTTTCCTGTGCCTCATCTCATTTGATCCTCACAGAAGTCCTGGAGTAGGTAGATAGGAGACTTAGTAGAATCTTATTTTCTTTTCATTAGTCAGAAAACAGAGATTTAGAAAGTTTAGAAACTTGACCTGACTGAAAAGAAGTAAGAAATGGTGGACCTTGAAAATGACTTCAGGTTTTCTCACTGCGCAGAATATAGTCAAACACTGTTGCAGTTAAATATTTTACCCTTTGTTCTCCCTGTGTGATCTACAATAATAATCTGCTTCTTGTTGATATTTACTTCTCTGTTGCTAACAATTACCTGAAAGAAAAGCTGGGGTGCTTCACAGGGCTGGAAAAAGTTTAGCTGCATCAGAAAGCAGGTCTAATTAAGCAAGTTTATTCTATATCTAAAAGGTTAAGTTGACTCATACATGTGTGATGCATATAAAGCTCTCACTGGCACCAATCGCATGCATGTGTTTCCATCTGTCATTATTGATCGTGAATTTGGTTGACACTTCTATTATAGAGAAAGGGCAAATAGTGATATTTAAAATATTTCTTCTAATTAATTTTCTTTCAATGTGCACGAATCTGTGTACTGGGCCAATAGTACTAGTATCTATAATAATAAAAGCATAATATGCTAATTAGATTGGACAGCTGAACAACCTTTCAGATGTCATTCTGGACATCCTCCCGGATAAAGACGTGGTGGCAGGGGCCAAGGCAGAGGTGGTTAAGGGTGATCAGGCAGGCAGGCAAGTA